GCTGAGAACACAGTACCAGGGAATGTGGAATGAAAGTCTATTTAATGTTTCTCCTGGAAGAGCTATATCATTCCATTCTGGAGTTTGTTTCTGAAATGCCTAACCCAGTAAGCACAAAACACTGAGCAGAGGACAGATTGGTATTCTGCCAGATAGTCATCTCCTCATACATACCCAGGAATGGATATTGGAATAAAAAACTAAGGACATAATAGTTTGGATAGACATGTGTATTAGTTTGTTAGGGATGTTATAAAAAAAAATACCACAGAATTTGTGGCTTAAATAAGGGAAACATTTTTTTTTTTTTTTACTGTCTGGAATCTAAGAAGTCTAAGGAATATTTGATTCCTCCTGAGACCTCTCTCCTATGGTCTCTAAAATTAAAGGAAATGTGAGAAAATCACAGATTGGGGAAGTTTCTGTCAATGGAAAATGAAGATATAGAAACAAACTGTACTTTACATCACCTATTGATATGCTTTTTACTTTCAGGATCTTGGTCGAGAAAAGATGATTATGCCGGAATGTATCCAGGAAAGACCCCTCCAATTGGACTACCTTCCTGTAGTAGACTGTCAAGGCTTTGCTTCTAATGGCCCTTCTTCAAGGGACTCTTCTTGGATTACTCGTGCTCTTTCATCTCCAGGACTTGTGAAGAACAGATACTGGGAACATATATTCCTTCCACCCAAGGTTGCCCATTAGTTAGTGGCTGACTGGTCCATGATCAGGAAGCCCAACACCCTTTGTGGAAGTAGGACAAATTGCAGTAATAAGAAACTTCCACCCCAAAACAACCTTGGGCATCAGATTGAAGTTGGAACTTTACTGGAAATTTCAGCTTTGCTTGGTTTCTTCTCTGTTCATGTTCTACTCCCCCAACTCCTATCAGTTCCTCTGGCAATGTGTCCTTCATAAATTATTTGCACATAAATCTTTGACTCAATGTCTGATTCTGAGGAACATAACCCATGGCAACTTCTGTGACTAGATTTTATTCTAGTTTGTTTTAAGTTCCTTAGAAGTAAATCCAGACACTGTGATAAAAGGGGATTAAAACAGGAATCTGGGTTTAACTTCTACTCTGCCTTGTATCAGCTTAGGGTCTGGGTCATTCATTCTAGTGCAAAAAGGCAGAAAAATCTATTCAATTAGTTTTTAAATTAAAAAAAAAAAGAAATTTGCTTATGTATATAACCCCAAATACAAGGGTAGTCTCACTTCATGCATGATTTATACTAAAAATTTTCTCATTCCTTCTGGATTCTCCCTGAATTATGGCAAGATAGCCATCATGAACTCTAGATTTATATCTTAGTGCCCAGCAACCTCTGCAGAAAGGGGTCCACTGAGTCCCTGTGTTAGTCACCTTCCTATTACCATAGTAAAATATCTGAGATAATTAACTTATAAAGAGAAAAGGTACATGACAATGGTGGGGAGCTTATGGGGGAGGAAATTGCTCAAATCATGAGTTGGAAAACAGAAAGGGCTAGCCAAGGTCCTGCAATGCCCTTTTTGGGAATTCCTCCAATGAAGGTCCTCTTATAGACATTGTACGAGTCTCCGTCTCCCCAAATTCCTCAGCCTCCCTATGGGACCACTTTGAGAACCAAGTCTTTAATGCATAGGCCTTTGGAGAACATTTGACATTCAAGCTATAATAGTCACCCAAAGCAACAACATTCCTTGAATTTACTCTGATTGGTCCAATGCAATGTAGTACACATGCCAATGAATGTGTCTGGTTGGATAGTTCTGGAGAAGATTTTCTTCTCTGGAGCCAGAACAGAGTCATCTTTATATTGACTGAGAGTGGGGAAGATATAGAATCTTGAAAAGAATAATTGAGGTATAAGAAGAAAAGTGAGTGGATACTAAGCAAATAATTAATTAGTTCATAGAGTGAGCATGAATGAGAAATGAACATTTATGAGCCAACATATCCTTACTGTTCCTTGGGGATACAATAGTGATTGTAAAAGGTTGTTATGATGATTAAATGGTTAGTATAGAAAGGTTTTCAGCATAGTGCCTGGCAGGTCATACTTCTTCAGTGTGTGGTAGCTATTATTAGTACACTATTAGTACAATTATGTTAGTCACCACAAGTCCCCTTCTGCCTAAAGAATTTCATATTCTACTTTAGGCTTTCAGTAACACAGTAAGATGTGAGGGAATAAAGTAAGGCTGAACCAACATCCTATGGACATGGGCCTGGGATGTCAAAGCTCCCTGGAGCAAGTGCTTAAAGTTATAACAGAAGGCAATTCTGTCAATTTTTAAAATCCATTTGTAATTATTATTTCATCATGAGATCAAGAAGTATGTTTTAGGTTGACCACATGGAGGTTTGGGGGGGAAATTAGTAGAGTAATTTGGAAATATTGCATTTTGGGTATCTCTTTCCAACTTCTCGGAATGCCTGTTAAATTGCTGACTAAATGGTAAAAAACTACATGATGTACAGAATTTTTCTCTGATGATCATGAGGGTGAGTATGAGATGATGATGAGTACCATCTGTGGCCCTTAGTAGAGAAAAATACATTTATCATATCACACCGCCATGTGTTAGGTGATAGTAAAACAAATTCCCATCATATGTTATATCTTATTGAGTTTCTAGGTGTCATTTAATTATTTCCTGATTCAATGTAAATATATTCAAATTAAACAGTGCAAATTGCCTTTACAGTTAAACTTTAGTCTTCTTTCCTGAAAATAACCTGAACAATTACAATTTTTAATATTCAATTTTTCATGTTACCGTAGACTCACACAAAAGAAAAGAGAAAATTAAACAAGAATTCTAGCTTTATCTTTATTATTTTTTCTTTGAAACTGAAAAATATGCATTTCATCCTGAAAGTAATTTTGTATTTATAATTTTCTGGTTAATAAAAATGCTTCCTAAAAATGGTTGTGTATTTTTTTTCCACTTTGGGAAAAATGTATTTTCTCCTCAGAACATATGTTCCTTTGTTGTCACAGGATAATTTCATTGCATTAATTTTGAGAAGAAAAAAAAATATCAGCTACTCATACATACCCATTTGCTCAATGTTCTGAATAGTTTAGGGAAGATCTGGAGGGGTCAAAATGTATGATTTTCCCATTAGTAATGGCTCCTGGCTCAATGGCCCCTTTCTAGCCAACTTGATCATGTGTGCTTCATTGAAAAACAGGAGATAATGTTTTCAATGATTTTATCTATTATGAAAATGAACAGATAAATCAACATTTATTAAAACTGTGATGGGTGAACAGTTTTTTTTTTTTTAGATCTGAAAATAAATTTACCTAAGCCTAACACCTGCTTCTGTGCTGTTAGGAGAAGTCCTAAGTGTGCAATGCTCCAATGCATTTGTTGAGAGACTAAGCATAATGTCATCACCTTGTAAATATACCAAGGGTCAGTGTAATGTGGGCTTGATAAAAGCAGAGCTGAGAGTCAAAGTAGCATTTTATTTTAGAGTGTATTTAATTTTAAAACTGCATAAAATTGAAGAAAAATGTCTTAGGCTGCAGGAAATTCATAGTAATATTACTGGTAGATAAACAACTAGAAATATCCTACTTATCATGAATGACAGAATTATTAAATATTATTAAGCTGTCCTAACATTTGTTTAATAACTCCAACTACAAATTGCCATCTGAACTAGTCTTGTTTTACTTAACAAGTAGCAGCATGCACGTAATAAAAAGGACATTTAAGAAATAACACAATTGTAAATAAATATTAATGTTAGTAACACACAAAACTGTGAAATGGAATCACATTCATATTAAGAATGAATTAGCTCTCTACATACATTGCAATTCTTTTTTGTTTGTTTAAGTATAAAACATTTCTTACAATTTAATATCTAATACATACACAAGATACAAAGAACAATAAAAAAATTACATGATTAGGTCACAGACATAACTAATACAAGCCTTTGTGTTCTTTTTTTTTTTAATGTGAGTAGGACTAATTTATTTTTTGCAAGATGGGGACTGAACCCAGGACCTTGCACATGCTATGAACATGCTCTATTACTGAACTACACTCCCACCCCTTTGTGTTCCCCTAACCCTCTCTGCCCCAAATTTGTTTTTTTAACCCTTTGCATTTCTGAATTTTCACTATATGTGAAATGTATCTCTAAATAAATGACTTAGTATTTGAGGTAGGTAATTAAGACAAATTCTTCTGTGCTTCCCTTCTCCCTAGGGAGCAACCCATGTAGGTAGAGACAGGCTGGTTCAGGGTTAAGCCCAACCACCTGCTTTAGGATAATACCAGTGCTCCAATCAAGCTGACCTGAGACCTAGAAAGTGTTGGGTGTCAACTCTTGGCAGGTGCTCCCTGCAGCAGCCATCACTTCCTGGGAAAGGAGAACAGATTATGTGGACAGAACACACCCTCCTCCCTCTGCCTAAAGCTGTATGGAAGCTCAACAAGTGGGAATCAGGACCCAATACTTTCTGGGTCCCTCAGAGGTGTGGAGTAAAGGGGCTAGGGAGAGGATGCAACTTTTCCAAAATGACTACAAAAATAAGCACTTTAGCTGGGCGCAGTGGCACATACCTGTAATCCCAGCAGTTTGGGAGGCTGAGACAGGATGATAACGGGGTTCAAAGCCAGCCTCAGCAATAGCCAGCTGCCCTGAATGCTCCAAGGTCACGGATAGGAACTCCCATAGTCCTGCCAGTAGACCTGAGAGGGAGAGCAGCCAGGTATGGGTCAGGCCTAAGTTGCTGACTCCTTTCTCTACTCCTCCCTGTTGATTGTGCTACTTTGCTCCCAGCATCCTGGTACCTGAGTTAGGCCTCTGCACCAGCAGAATGCGGGTACCCCCAAGGGCTCTGGGCTGCTCCAGAACCCAGTGAGACCCTGTCTCTAAATAAAATACAAAATAAGGCTGGGGATGTGACTTAGTGATTGAGTGCCCTTCAGTTCAATCCCTAGTACCCCCCCCCCCGCCCCCCAAAAAGTAAGCACTTTATTAAACAATAGGGCTCTCAGGGATAGGGATTTTCAGAGGCATCACTGGGCTGCACTGTTGAGGCTGGGTGTGTCAGTGGGGACATGAGGCCAAAAGAAACTATCCAGGACTTGCTGGCCCCGGTTGGGCTTTTTCCAGCTGGGCTTTTTCTGGCAGGATGGAGAAGACAATTGAGACCTTTTGGAACCCTTGCAGGTCCCTGGCTGATGGTCCTCATATACACGGAACACCTTTTTCATGGCAGTAGAAACAGCTGCGGTGTGAAATTCCTCTCGAGTCAGCCATCGAGCACCAGGTGGTATGGTCACTGGGGTCTGCCCTTCCAGGGCCAGACCATATACTTGATATGTCAGCTTGATATGAGAGAAAGTGTAGCTCACCTCTCCAAGGTACTGGAGGTGGGTAGCAGGGAGAGGCCCAGTCCAACTCTGTAGTTTCTGCAGCAGGTCCTTGTGCTGATGCTGTCCTGAGTGCTCCAAGGTCACGGATGGGAACTCCCATAGTCCTGCCAGCAGACCTGAGCTAGGCCTCTGCACCAGCAGAATGTGGGTACCCCCAAGGGCTCTGGGCTGCTCCAGAACACAGATGGCTAGGTACTCCTTCCTGGGGGGCCTGTGGCTGGCCTTTCTGGGAAAGTTGGCCACTCCCAACGTGTGGTTCCAGGGTTTGCAGTCCTCCACGTCAAGAGTGCCTTGCAGGTTCCATGAAGCTGAGAACTGTTCCTGCTCTACCCTCTGGCGTGCCCTGCACAAGCTCTGCACAGGGCACTGGCTGCAGAGAGGCCGCTGTGGGGTGCACACTGTGGCCCCCAGTTCCATGGCTGCTTGATTAAAGTCCCCTGGTCGGTTTGGATCCACTAGCTGCTGGGCTAGGCTCCAGAGATGCTGAGAGACAAGGGTGCTCTTGGGATCAGCACCAATGGCTCGGACACGGCACAGCACCCTACTACATTCCCATCCACCACACCGGTTGCCTGACCAAAGGCAATGGAAGCAATGGCTCCAGCTGTGTACCGCCCACACCAGGTAGGAGCTGCTGTAGGGTGTCTGCTGTACGGGGCATGTGGCCCCCTAGCTCTTCTACCACCTTCCGAGTTCCCTTCTGTAGTCGCCGGCCCCGTGAATAGTAGCCCAGGCCAGCCCAAAGTTGGTTCACCTCCTCCAGAGAAGCATTGGCCAGGTTCTGCAGTGTTGGCCATTTCTGCATCCACCGGGTATAGTAGTTGATCACTGTGGCAACCTGGGTCTGCTGCAGCATAACCTCTGACACCCACACAGCATATGCTCGCCTATCCAGGTCCGCCTCATCCTCTGCCTGTCTTCTCCAGGGTAGGTCCCGCTTCTCAATGTCATACCAGCTCAGTAGGCTCTTCCTGAAGGCTGTTATTTCAGTTCTATTTCTGAATAGATGGTATGGGGAGACAGAGGCCTGAAACATCTTCTCTTCTTGCTGATTGGCCAGGTCTGCAGGAGTCCCAGGACACTCAGAGATCCTCCCCTTAGGAGCAGAAGGCTTGGCCTGGCTGCTATTGGGGGCACGTTTCTTCCTTCTCTCCTGGCTGGCTGCCTGCTTTCCCAGATTACTTCCCACAGCTGCTCGAAGTTTCCTCATGATGGCCTCAACTTTACCATTTCATTTTCATCAAAAGAGCTTGCTTCCTGGGGCTGAGGTTGTAGCTCAGTGGTAGACTAGTTGCCTATCATGTGTGAGGTACTGGGTTCAATTCTCAGCACCACACATAAATAAATAAAATTAAAGGTCCACTGACAACTCCTCCGCCGGCTCCCGCGCAACACCAGTACATTGCAATTCTTGCAAAGTAAAATGGAGCAAATGTATGAGCTCATGAACACAGTTATATAACTATTAATATATAGAATGATTTTTTATAAACATTTATATTTTAAATTTATTCTTTTTAATTACACACGACAGTGGAATGTATTTTGACATACATTCATGCAGTATAACTTTCTTGTGGTTTTACATGATGTGGAGTTATACTGGTCATGTATTCAAATATGAACATAGGAAAGGAATTTCCTATTCATTCTGGTGTTTTTCTTATTCCCACCCTCTCTCCCTTTACTTCATTCTCCTTTCTCTAATCCAAAGTACTTTTATTCTTCCCTACTCCGTGTTATTGCCTATTAGCATCCACATATCAGACAGAACATTCCACCTTTAGTTTTTTGGGGGATTGGCTTATTTCACTTAGTATGATAACCTCTAGTTCCATCCATTTACTGGCAAATACCATAATTTCCTTTTTTTATAGCTGAGTAATATTCTATTGTGCATATGTACCATATTTTCTTTATCCATTCATCTGCTGAATGGCATCTAGATTGATTCCACAGTTTAACTACTGTGAATTGAACTGCTATAAACATTGATGTGGCTGTGTCACTGTAGAATGCTGATTTTACTCTGATTGGTCCAATGTAGTATACATGCCTGCCCTTGTACCAATGAATGTGTCTAGTTGGGTAGTTCTGGAGCAGATTTTCTTCTCTGGAGCCAGAATAGAGACATTGCTCTCTATATACGTTGAAGTATACACCAAGGAGGGGATAACTGGGTCAAATGGTGGTTCCCTTCCAAGTTTTCTGAAGAATATCCATACTGCATTCCATAGTGGTTGCATCAATTTGCAGTCCCACCAGCAATGGATGAGTTTACCTTTCCCCCGATATTCTCACTAACATTTATTGTAACTTGTATTCTTTTTTTTTAGTTGTTGATGGGCGTTTATTCTATTTATTTGTACTTGGTGCTGAGAATCAAACCCAGTGCCTCATGCATGCTAGACAAGTGCGCTACCACTGAGCCACAACCCCAGCCCCTGTAACTTGTATTCTTAATAATTGCCATTCTGACTGGAGTGAGATGAAATCTCTGTGTAGTTTTGATTTGCATTTCTCTAATTCTAGAGACACTGAACATTTTTTTCATATATTCGTTGACTGATTGTATTTGTTCTGTGAAGTCTTGTTCAGTTCCTTTGCCCATTTATTGGTGGAGTTATTGGCTTTTTTTCCTTTTCTTTCTTTCTTTTTTTTTTTTTTTTTTGGTGTTAAGATTTTGAGTTCTTTATATATCCTGGAGATTAGTGCTCTATCTGAGGTATACAGGTGGTAAATATTTTCTCCCATTCTGTGGACTCTCGCTTCACATTTTTGATTGTTGCCTTTGCTTTTTAATTGGATACCCTCCCATTTATTGATTCTTGATTTTACTTCTTGCACTTTAGGCATAGAATGATTCTTAAAGCCTAAGCTCCAAAGTTGATGACCTCCAAGGAGGACTAGAACTGTGAGCTATGTTTACAATGAACCTTTTTTCTTGTTTTTCAAATGTTTCTATGTGAAAGTACGCAGAATACTATAATAATACCACATGTATATACACGACATCCATATTCAACAATTATCAGCCTTTTCTATACTTGTTCCTTATTTTGTTTCTTTTCTATTCTGAAGTATTTTAATGGATATCTTAAACATTAATATTTCATCAATAAGTACCTTGCTGTACAAACATCTCCAACTATATGTGAATATTTACCTGCATACACACAATACCATTATCTCCTTCATCACAATTGCCACAAAAAGACCCTTAGCTCCCCCACCTCTTCCAATTCAAATGTTGAAGCCCTAATCCCCATGATAGTATTAGAAATTGGGAGCTGTAGGAGATAATTAGTTCTTAAGGGTGAAGGCTCTCATTAATGTGATTAGTGCCTTGTTAAGAAGAGGTCAGAGAGTTTCCTAGCTGCCTTTCTGTCATGAAACCACAAGGAGGATTCTGCTGTCTGCAAACCAGGAAGTGGATCCTCACCAGATGTTGGATTTGCCAGCACCCTGATTTTAGACTTCTCGTCCCCCAGAACTGTGAGAAATAAATGTTTATTTTCTAAGACAATCTATGGTACTATTTTTTAATAGCAACCTAAACCTACTAGGGAAATATTTAATGATAGATCATTATTCTTATAAAAATAAAGCTGTCATTCAATGTCTGACTCCTTTACAAATTTACTTGTTTATCTACAAAATAGTCTTTGAAAGGTTTGTGTATGTATTCCTTTCAATTGCAGGGAGCAGACCATAATGTCAAGTCATTCTTAACATGAAGCAATTTTCATCTAGAGCAGGATCCTTTACTATTTTATTTTTCTGGCCATTAACTTGTTTGAAAGTCAAATTTGAAAGTCAAATACCTATGGTGTATCTCAGTTTGTGTTTATCTGTGTGCATCTTTGCTGTTTAATTTAGTCTGTTACTCTATCTTCCCATGATTTCGGAAAATGGGCTAAGGGTTGATTAGATTCAAGTATGTTTGTTGCTCATACCACAAATAAATGATATTTTGAACATATTTCAGCAAAATACTGAATTTTTTAAAGGTATAGCTACCTACTTCTGCATATGGAGATACCTGGATATTTTTTAAATGCTCCAAAATACTTCCTTTTGATGCATTAAGTTGCCCATGCATGAAGACAGGATTTGAAAAAGTTTGGTCCTACCACCTAAATAGTTGTATTTGATACAGATGGACTTTGAAGATCTGAAAGTTCCCTGTTAAATAGATGTCAACCTCAGATAGTTGAGTCATACGAAGCACACTCCTGGAAAACATGATAAATACTAAGGCTTAACACTTATTCACTTATTTATAGCATGGCTGTGCTTTTACTTGGCAAATTTAATGTTTTTCAATCTCCAGAATTGGCTAAATAAATTTGAAAAGCACACTCAATTTACCAAAAAAAATATTCATAGTTGATTGTATATTCATTCATTAATAATCTCTGAATGCCCACTTAATGCCAAGCACCATTCTAGGCATGGAAGACAGGCAAGAAATCTCTTAAATTACTTAACTGGTTTTCACATCAGTTAAAACTATTCAGCATCTAATATATGTATGTACAATACACAAATCATGGATAATGTTTTACTGTGACACAAAGAAGTGTGTGACATATCACCTGCCCTCCTGATGCCTTGGCTTAGGGTTAAGACAAACACCAAGCTGTGATAGACTAGAAAGACATGAAAGCTGCTATTGATATAAAGGGGTGATTGAAATAGTTTCTGATCAAAGACTCTGAGCTTTTTATTTCATTAGAGCTACCAATAAGGAGGCTGGGATTGTGGCTCAGCGGTAGAGTGCTTGCCTAGCATGTGCGAGGCCCTGGGTTCTATCCTCAGCACCGAATAAAGATAAATAAAATACAGATATTGTGTCCAACTAAAATATTAAAAAAGAACTACCAATTAGCTATAATAAAATGAGGGAAATAACTGAGTTCAATAAGTGTTTTGTTCATGTCTTAAAAATTTGGATTTTTGTTATGTTCAAAACAGCATTCATCATGAAGTCAAGAACACATTTTTTTTTTATCAGACATAGTTTGTTGCTTTGTCAATTTTGCTTTATCATTCACTAGCTAGAAGCCCTTGAAAGATAAGTGACGAGCATCTGTCTGTATTATTTGCATGTTTTGATTTCCTATTATACACAGGCAGTCTTCTTCTTCCCATTCCCCTACTGCTGAACTGGATTCACAGAGAGGAAACAGGCTGAGTCAAGGAAAAGGCTCATGGTCAAGCCAAAGACATTACCAGAAACCCATCATCCAGGCAAATACTATAGCAGTGCTTTGCACAGAAGCCTGACTCAGAATTAATTATTCTTGAATAAAGAAAGTACAGAGTACTAAAGAGAAATCGATTCAAGTCTCAGACATACCCCCCCTTTTTTTTGGTATAATATAAAACTTCTGGGTTTCAAGAGCCCCAGGGCTTCCTTCACCACACTGACATAATTAGGCAAAAGCAGGAACAAGAACAGCTCTCCATGGTCCTACTTTATTCTCATTAGTTGGCACACTTCTGACACTAAGTCCCAGCAACCACGCTGTGGAGTTCTGCCTGGGAGCACGATGTGATAGAAACAGCCTTAATATCCCCCCAGGAACATGTTTGAGACCTGGCGTGGCTGTCTGTTGGCTATTCACTCACAGGCAAGTTTTGGCTTCCCCTATCCTCAGTTTGAGTGAGAACTGGGCTTAGAATACTTGAAAAGGCTGTTGTGAGAATCACACCTGATTGTAGAAGTAAAAGAACTCTGAAAGCTGTACAATGAAGGAATCTCCATCCATCTTCTTGGTAATACTTGTGGACAAAGTTTCTTTTTTATTTTAAGGTTTTATTCTTTGTTTCTGTGTCCATAAAAGTTTACCTACTGGAAATTAAAACAAATTAGATATAGACCCTTCCCTTTAGCAGATTTTAGAGTAAAGGACATAAACATAGGTGGCAACAAGGCTATGTAAAAATTGCTGTAATCACAGGGGTGGGGACACTTCTGGGAAGTGGCAAAGGGTAGGACTCTGGAACTCTTGTGTGGCTGAAAATTAATGGTCAAGTTCAAGTTCAAAATCTGAGCCTAAGCAAGTTTGAGGACAGAGTAAGCATATAAATGGGGTGGGAAGGAAAGTAGAATCTGGCTGCAGTAGAAGAGAAGAGCAGAGGGACCGAGTTCAAAAGAGAGGGAGAAGGAGTGGGAGGGAAGGGGCAGAGGAAGGAGGGGGCCTGGGA